GAGGCCTCCTCGCTAGGACCAAGTATTTATTTTCTGTTGCTCCTGTTAATCAGTATGGATTGGCCGGTACGGAGGACGAAAATGTCGTGTATGCAACGACACATGACCACGAGGCGCCTTTTCCTCCGACCGACATCCACGAAAGCCGAGTGGATGCTGGGTACGTGGAACTGTCGTTTTCTGAGCCATTCTACACTGGCGGTTTCCCGACTAGATCTCTTCAGTACAACGCGCGTCTCCAATCGTTGTTATCATGTTTTGATGACACGTCCGGATGCTCTACATGCTCCCATGCTTTGAATTCTGACGGTGATATCGTAGCACTTGATGCTACTTCGAACGTGTGTAGAGCAGCAGTTTGCTCGGATAGTGGACATTGCTGCTTAACTGGTGGAGTTAAATGTGGTATTCGAATGCTTGAGGAGAAGAAATGCGTTTCTACTGATGGACCTGGAATTTGCCGTATCGAAGGGTTACACTTTACCACAACCTACTTGATAGCCTTGGCTACTGTGAACGATAAAGGGAATAGCTCGTATTCGAGCGGCATTATGGTCACTACAAGTGGACCCAGACGCCCCAGTGCTCCGCATCTGGAGCTCATCTCTGCTACGGGAGGCTCAATTAGTTTGAAATGGTCACTTCCAGAGGTAAGCGTATTTTTTTAATTGATAATGTGACGCTTTTATTGACATGTAATGATTGTGTTTGAATACTGCCAGGATAAGGGCGGTGCCTCCATCGTGCGGATGTCTCTGAGTGTAGATGGAGATGAACTCTTTGGCACTGAGTCAGCTCTGAGCTACACTCATTGTGGTGGGCTTCAGCAGAGTACCGATTACATGTACACTATTGAGATCGAGAACGCTGCGGGGTTAACAAACCGAACAACGCATTCGTTTATGACGGCAAAAGCGACTCTGCCTGGAACCGTGAAGCTTTCTGAACCATTCGTGGACATGCAGAGTATCGCAATACCCGTTACGCTGCCTTGTGATGATGGTGGCATTAGTGGTGGACTTTACCTCGCCTATCGCGTCATCAAATCTAGTGACACGACTGTAATCGGAGGATCCGCTTCGTGTTGCACAATTATCGTTAATGGCTTGTTAGCTGCAACTGACTATCGACTAGAAGCTCGAGCCGAGAATTCTGTTCTGCATGGCGACTGGACTGCTATGAGCTTCACAACTTTAAGTGGAATACCCTCCAGCCCAAACACAACTCTGCTGTTTGCGACTTCATCAACACTCGAGTTAGCACTGGTTCCGCCATCTCAAAGTGGCGGTGGAACGTTCTCAATTGAAGCGGAAGTAACAAATGCAGCAACAAACTCTGTGGTTTTTCGAAACACGCTGCAATACTCACTGGTGGAACGAAGATATGAATGTCCCGATACGCTAACGGTTAGTGGTCTCACTGCAGATCAAGATGCCTTTACTTATATTGTAGCTGTACGGGCTACTGGATTGTACGGATCGAGCTCTTGGGTACGTCAGACGTACGAAGTTGACAATGGAAAAGCTGGCAAAATTGGTTTTGTGGAATCGCTGTATCGTGGAGCTGAAGGGAGAGATGTCGAAGTGAAAATTGCACGAGTGTACGGGACTACGACACCGGATGAAAATCATTTTCTGATCACTGCTAATGGAATTGTGCCCTGGTGGACGTGTTCACCAACATCTAATGGAGCAACTTGCGTTGCTGACGAACAAGGTGACAACAGAGGTATGTACACAGGATTAAGCATGCTAACGTTACTTGCATTTTTTCCACTAAATATCTATGATTTTGCTACCAGGATATATTAGTTTTGAGGCTGGCGAGTATTTGAAAACGATTATTCTCACGTTTGATGACTTACAATATGAAGCTACAGCCGTGGCATTGAGCCTGACTCTCGTTTCCAGTACGACAAGTAGTCTTAGTAACACACAATGCGAAGTTCAGATTTATGACAATGGAGACGCTGGTAACTTGAGTTTTGGAAGTTCGCAGATGGCTGTATACGAAAACGAGGCTGTGGTCCAGATAGCAGTTGGACGAAGTGGTGGAGTCAGTGGAAAAGTGTCAGTGACACTTACGTCAACAATCAGCTCAAGCATTCGAGAAAATCGACTGCAAAAACTTGTTACTTTACGGGGACTGGAGTTGAAAATGCTATCGTGCCAGTTGATCTAGCATGGCAGCAGTGCATTT